GCGTCTAGTGATACATACAGAGTCAGACCAGAGGCAGGACTGGGATGAGTGTTCGATGATAGATATGCTCAACCGACAGGTCATGGAAGTATACATGGGTATGTGTGGGGGGCGGAAGGATGAGGGGGGGGAGGAGGGGGGGTGGGGTCCTAAGAGAAGGGGGCTTAATAAGAAGAAGATTTACCGGTTTATGGGTGTTTGTGATGACATATCAGTGGGAATTTTTTTTTCGACAAGGCGAAGCGCCAACGCTTCATTTTACAGAATGAAGCGTTAGCGCTTGTCGAACTGAAAAGAAAAAAAATTGTACTGCGCCAATGCGCCAGAACTGCAGAAGAAAAATCACTGGTCAGCGTTATTTCAAAAATGGCTGTGTGCGCCATGTAATTGACACAGCACGTGGCGAGAAGTCTCTACTGTGGTCCACGTAAACTTCTTGTGCCGAACGGTACTTCGTCTTGAAGTGACATTCAGGTTAGTTCCTTACGTTTAGTTTTGAAGGGTAAGCAAAGACGGTTTTGTTCATAAATGATAATTATTGTTGCTTGCGGTTACCGTATGCCGCAAATTTTAACGCACGTGCATTGCCATCTTGGAGTTCATTGCATTGTGGCTGTGTGCGAATATTCAAGTCTGGGCAATTCGACCAAATAGACCTTGTTTCATCCGCTAGTAATTTGTTTTTTCCGTTCGTAAAAATGTAAATAGATAAAGATATATGTTCATTAAGCTTTTAACATTGCACCTGGTCGAAGGTTTGGGCTTACAAACACAGGATCAATTCAATCAATGGGCTTTTGCATTAGTTCCATACAAATCCTTGTAAATTTCGAAGTTTTTAAACTGTCGTGAAATATTTCCTTAAGTAATAAGGGGCTCAAATCTCCTTTTTATTCACAACAGGCAATTTGAGCCCTTAAATGCATAAGGGAAAGATTTAACGACAGTTTAACCGCTCAAACATGACTGGGTGGCAAGCGTTTTTCCCAAGAGTTGTTGTTATCTCCTTCAAAGGTTTGGCGGTTGTTGCAATCACTTCTTTTGAGATATACGGCTGAAATTTTACAGGTTATCTATGTTTAATACTTCAGTTTCAGTTCCTACTGGACAAAATTTTCCACCATATAAATGAACTATTTTCGTGTTTACAAAAAGTTGATCACATGACTAACTATTGCAAAAGGCCTATTCAATCAAACTTTATGGTAAATAATTCCCTGTAGGTTAAGAATTTACCGTGCTTGGCTACCCTCCAAAGTCTTCTTAAATGTGGTAAATATGTTGAATGAAGGGAAGAAACAATAGTGAAAAGAGATAATTAGGACCTCATACCATCTCAAATTCAATGAAATTAGAAATGTTACCAATTGATAAGTAGTGGACGTTCAATTGAGTTTGTGCACAATACTCTTGTTTTTTTAATTTGCATTACTTTTTCTCCCTTTCTAACATCAACATATTTTGGAAAGATTTCAAAGGGGAGCCATGCCAAAGCATAGTAAATTATTGCTTGCTACATGGGAATTTGATGTTACGCTCAACTCAAGACAATAGGGAATCCCAGAGCAAAAAATTATCCAAATCTATGACATCGCTTCAATGTTTTACTCAATTTTGCGCCTACGTTAGACAACTTTAAAAGTTTTCAATATAGACATGAAATTTGGGAATTTTATAGTACACTAATCACTTGCAGCCCTGAAAATTTTTTGAAGAAAATCTATCCACACATTTTGGTTTAATCACTGTTTTTGTGAAAGAAGCCTCAGAAATTACAGTTATTAAAAGAGCTCAGTGCTGTGTTTTACCTTGATTCACATGTTTTCATGTTTTTCAAAATTGTACAAGTCTACTTACATTTAGCCATTTGTAGAGTGTATAAAGGTGATTTGAAAAACAAGTGAGTGATAACAACTTTTCAGAAACATCCAAAAAGTAGCAAATTTGTCTGCATTAAGTCCTGTCTTCAGTTCATGCAAAATGTATATACCTTTTTGTAGAAATTCAGAGATATCTTGAAATTCCTCGTATACAATTTTGTGAAACTTCACACAGCAGAAGACAAGCACCCAAAGTATCTGTAGTGAAAACATTTCCAAAGAAAATGCTGATATGGGCTGAAATTCGATTTAGAGCTAAACCTATTGTGATGTTGTTGTCATGTGATATTTATTGCCAATGAGCAGCCTTGCAAAGAGTTGAAGCTGTGAGGCGGCAACCTAATAGAGCCGTGCAAGATTGTTCCAGGGGCAGAAAAAATCTTGAATCGATGTAACATAGAGTAATGTAAGGCAACCATGATGTAATGCAGGACAGAGAATGCATTGTTTTCGAGCAAACACATGATACAGATCAGAGAATCCACGAGCCATGTGCATGTTTGTGAGTCCCCTGCTCATGCCGTCTTCAACCAATTGTCTGGTGGATCATTTCCATCCTATTATATGCTTTATCTGTCACATCTGCCTGCTGGAATTTTCAATGGCATGCCGCTAAGAAAAACAATTACACTGTGAAATTTTTTGTCTCTTTGAAGCAAAATAATTCGGAAGGCTCATAGGTGCACCATAAATTTTTTTCGCTTTAAAAAGAGACCAAATGTAAGTCTGTACGTTGAATATTTGCAGACTTAAATATGATTTTTCGAGGATTTTAAGTTTGCTTATAAGACCACTAAATTTTAAGCAAAATGACTTGTGTGCAACTTCGGACAAAAACACGAACTTTAATATCTCGAAAAATTTGCTGTGTAAAGTCGGGATTTAAAATTCTTTATGCAGTAGAACAGTTTAGTTCACTATTTTCAAAACAAATTAAAGCAAGGGGCACACGTACACTGAACCCATATGATCTGCCTTCCCCGCGCATGTGGTGGGAGAACTGCCACCCATATATGGGGTTTCTCTGTCTTTGACCGATGGCTATGCCGTGCTGATGAGCCCCAGTAAGGGCGAAACAGCTGCTTCAGTTTGGAACAGCTCAGCTGTTCTTTCTGTAAGCTAGCCCAGCCAGGAATTTTGTTGTTGGATCGACTTTGGAATGGCTTTGATTCAGATGCCGACCTTTTCATGTACTGAACCAAATGCATAAGTTATTATAACGTATCTTGTAAAGTACTTATATATGTACTGTGTATATCATCCCAAATTTGTCAAAAGGTAGAATAGAAATAGAAAACTTGTAATTTTAAATAAACAGTGCTGCAGGTTGTCTTTGATTTTAGATTAATTTCAATCTTTTTAAAGATTTTTAAATATGTAGAGTTAATATCTTAGGCCATGACTCTTTGGTCTTGGGTTGAGCGAGTTGTTTTGAGGCATTGTTCTCTTTAATATGCCCAGCACACATAACAAAGTTCGACATCATTGGGCTGGGTCTCTAAAAAGTGAAAAATAATTGATCTGACCAAACTGCTAATAAATATCACTCTCATGATTATGATTTTTATTTTTATTAAATTTTTATTTTTGTTTGAAGGAAACATGAGGCACCGGAAACCTGAAAAAAGAAATGTGAAACCTGTAGAGGTAATAACTTAAAGCAGTAAAACCCCTTGCAAACAATCATAGCATACTATTCCTTAACATAAGTCATTTTTATTGACTCAATATAATTTAGCAACTCTGAGTATTAAAAGATCAAAGTGGAATTGCTTTCTCTGATAATACCAAAGAATTCCTAAGCTAGTTAGTTAACATGCCTATTACAGATGCGGTTGTTCCATCTAGTCTAAAATATGTGTCTCGTCCCCTCATCTCAAGAAGGCAAATCTGATTCACTAAAAATTTAGCAGCTTTCGCCCTATCTCAAACCTGACATTTATCTCAAAATGTGTTGAAAAGGTTGTAGTGACTCAATGACAATTTTTTATTATGCCATCATGTTGAGGATAACAACCTATTTGAAATTGATCAGTCTGCCAATAAACAATATCGTAGCACAGTTCTAAACAGCACTGATTAAAGTTCAAGATGATACACTCCTAGCCATTGATAATAATTCCTGCATGATACTGCTCCTATTGGATCTTTCAGCAGCCTTTGATAGAGTTGATCACCAGATACTTTTGCATCGTCTTTCTTTTTGGCATCGTTACAAAAATGTACATTAATGTCAATGGAGCCGGATGCAAGGCAGGCTTCAACCACCTTCGAAACGTTAGCTGCATAAGTAAATATATCAGTTGCCATACCGTGGAAATGCTTGTGCATGCTTTCATTACTTCCAGATTGGACTTCTGTTATTCACTTCTGTATGGACTACTGAAACAAACTATCAAGAGACTTCAGCACGTTCATGTAGCAGCCAGAATTGCTGCGCTTACACCAAAACATGAACATATCTCACCAGTATTACAGGAACTTCATTGGCTTCCTATAGAAGAGCATATAACTTTTAAGATTTTTTAATGACCTTTAAATGTTTAAATGGCTTAGCCCCTTCATATTTGTATGACCTAGTAATTACATACGTGGTATATTCCTCGGTCAACTTACTAGATCTGCTAATTGCCATCATATGCTTGATGTCTAATATAATCTGCACAGCTATGGTTTTCGGTCTTTTTCAGTAACGTCTCCACCGTTGTGGAATGACATGCCACTAGAAATTACCATAGATCTTGTGAGACTTTGAACAATTTTAAGAAAAAACTCAAGACCTATCTTTTTCTGACAGCACTTTATAATAATAATAAATATAATACTTTATTTATATAGTGCCATTTCCAGCTATGTCCAATAGCGCTTTACAATGTTACAAAATTACAAAATTAATATTGTTCCAAATCTGTAATTCAAAAATTACATTCAATTGAAACTACTAAAATATAAAAAAGACTAATTTAACAAAAACTTAAAATATAAAGGTAAAATGTAAAAAGGACTAATATATATATATATATATATATAAAGTGACTGAAATATAAAAAGAACTAATTTGATAGAATGCTTTCCTAAAAAGATAAGTCTTCAGTTTTTTCTTAAAATCGTTTGAACTCTCACAAGATCTTATTTCTAGTGGCATGTCTTTTCACAGCTGTGGTGATGCTACTGAAAAAGAACGAAAACCACAGTTTCGCCGATTATACCTAACATCAAGCAGGCGATGGCTGTTAGCAGATCTTACATGTAAGTTGCACCTAGGAATATACCTTGTAACTAGGTCGGACAAATATGAAGGAACTAAGCCATTTAAACATTTAAAGGTCATTAAAAGAATCTTAAAAGTTATGCGCTCCTTTTATATTTTAGCCTTTTTTATCTCAAAGCGTTTTTTTTTAATCAATTACATGTAGTTTTGCTATTTTTAATTTGTTTTAATTCAGTGAAATATATGAAGAATATTTATGATATTTTCAATATTTGCTGTAAAGTGCCTTTGGGAATTGTTAGAAATGGTGCTATATAAACAAACTGTTATTATTATTATTTATAATTTGAGCCCAGTTATTGAGAGGTTTTTTCAAAAAAGTTGTTTTAAAATTAATCTGCAATTTTTGCAAGGAATGTATGACTCATTAACAATTTTGGCACACAGCAATCATAAGCAGTTTTCTACAGCTGGTACTTCCTTAAATAGAGCTTACAAAGATGTACAAATTGCATAAACATACCAAGTTCAGGCGCATAGGAGAAGGGGGCATAAATATTGAGGTAACGGAAAACAAATTACCGAGGAAAATTCAGAAAACTGCTAATGAACTTTATTAAGGCCATAGCTTAGATCCTGAGAAGACTGGGTACACGGCCAAAGTTCGAAACTATGAACATGAAGTATAGAGGTGCAGGTGCACAAGTTGGTTACATGAAATGTACCATGGCTGAGAGTGGGCTCACCTCCTTGCTCTAATGCATATCAATATGTATAAGCATGATTTACCTGTTGATCTGGAAGAAATTGTCAAATTATTTTGATGCTGGAGTTGTCAAGTTTAGTTTAGGAATGGCCGGCCACATAGAACGTGTACCTTTAACAAAGTTTTAGAAAAAATTATAGCATTCTTTTCATTCCAGCCTTACTTAATTTGCTCTGGGTTTCTTCTTTTTCTCGCTGTCATAGAGACATCATTTCATTGGAAGGAACATAGAAAACACACATTAGAAAAGATAGTCAGATATAAGAGCCAACTTATCTTTTTGTATATCTGTCATCAATTTTTCTTTATTCGCACAAGCAGAATAATGCTTTCTTTTGTTCAAGCCTTGAAATGAAAATTGATCTGAAATATTTCAGATACTTGTGTTTTTGCGCTCAAGTTTTCCCTTTTCTTCCTGACAGTGCTCGGTTTGCATTTGGCTTTCAGTTTCAAAACAAACACCCCTTCTAAAACTTCAGCTAGGCGCCTGAAGTTAATAAGCTCTTTTAATTTCTCAATTCAATAAAATTTATGGGTAAATTTATGGGTGAATTTGTATTTGGTATTGGTGCTTAGAGGGTTAATGTTTTTATTTTGACTCAACACAAGCTATTCTCAGGTTTTGTGACCTGGCTATGCTGCCATAATTGTGACTGTGCCAGATTCCTATTCAACCATCTGCCACAAGTTTTTTAAACATGAGGAATTGTAGACCCTCTGTAAGAAACCTTTTTAAAACCTGTGTACAGGATCAGGTTTGTAGCCACTAAAAACTGTTAGAATTATGGGATTGGGCAAAAATTTTGGCTGAGATAACTCATTAAAAAATATTTATTGCTGAACTGTTGATGTTTCTTTTTTTTAATAGCAGAAAAATAGTTCAGGTGATGAGGAAGTTGAGAGAGAACAGAACAGCAGCAGTTGGCTGGGACTGTTAAAGTATTCCCTGTTTCTGTTAGTTCCTGGATTTCTTAATCATGCCGCTCTGTTCCGAGAAGGAGATGTGCTACGACCGCCAGGTCAGAGTTAAAACTTCAATCCCATAAATGTTACACTAAAGTAGTATTTTTTGAGTAATACTTCAATGGGTGCATGAAGAAAGGCTCTAGTCAGTGGCGGATTCAGACTGCCAGAAAAGGGGGTGGGGTCTCAAAAAATAATTTTTTCGGCCCTTTGGGCCTCAGTTTGGTCACAAAATAAGGAGACGCCCAGGACCCCCTGGTCCCTCCCCTAGATCCACCACTGCTAGTTATTCTTGGTCTAATTTCACTTGTGGCTTTATTTCAGTCACCCTTTGAACTGGGAGGGAAATTCTGATAAAAATAGAGTCATTGTGTCAAGTAATTATCTTAGTTTTTTTTCTTTTTAACTATGACACCATTGATAAGTACACTGCAGCAGTCATAACTATCAATCTCAGCTGAATTAATGTTTCAAACATTTAGCTTTGCATTTTTATATGGCTTGCACATGACTTATATCAGTGATTCATGTTGGTATGAGCTCATGCTTCAGCGGTTTCGATTTAAATTTATTAACATCATCAGTGATTTTGTTACAAATAGTTATATGGTGAGTCCTAGGACTCATCAACAACAACAACAACAACAAGTTTATTTCAAATTAAGTATAGTTTACAAAGCTTGTGCTCCCATAAACAAACCAGTGAGTCCCAGTTCAAAAAGACAGGGAGTCCTAAATTGAACAATTACATACTTGGGCCTTTACTGTGTATGTGACCAGACAGTTAATCTGGAGACAGATGCCAAAACTCTTTATTACAGTTTACTGAAATTAAAATATAGTCCTTCTATATATTTAGAGCACAAAAAGACTAAAATAAACATGCATCTTTAAACAATTAGCCACAGAAATCACACAAACAGGATATTATACGAAAAAATCTTCAAATCGAGCGATCGTCCTTTGGATCCTACGGGACGCATGCCTTGAATTACATGTATTTTGCGTCTTTGCGGATTTTTATGCGTCAGGGATGCAGGACCCAGAGGTAACAAAATCACTGCATCATAGCAGAAACTAAGAATGAGTCATACGCATACAGCTTATCATGGTAGCGTTTTCAAGATTTTGGATCTGGCATGGGACCTGTTTGGGACAAAATGAGTCTTCTGGAAGAGTGGAATACTAACGTGCGCAATCAGTGCTAAGAAATTTTTTTCAGAGTGCAGCATATCATCAAGTTTGATGTGCCTGCCCCAGTAAATACTTCTTTCAAATTCTGCATGCCTATTTTTGAGGTTCAGCCTTGTGGATTGATCTAATCAATGGCAATATATATGTGCGTTATTTTATAGGTGAACTTTATGATATTGGTTGGAAGCAGAAACTCTTCATGGGTTGCTCTGGGCGTGGTCCACCCACTGTCATTTTTGATGCCCCCACAGGTCAGTCATCAGATGCTTGGGCACTGATTGCACCTGAAATTGCCAAGATCGCCAGAGTATGTATCTATGATAGAGCTGGTTTAGGATTCAGTGACAGACCTTTAGTCAACTGGTCAGATCCACAGCAAGCAAAAAGAGGCAAATTATCGACCAGTGAGAGAATGGTGGAGGATTTCCATCGGTTATTTGCGTTAAGCTCTGATCAGCCCAAACCTTTCATACTAGTAGGTGCAGAGTTAGGAGCAGTCAACGCAAGATTTTTCACGAATATGTTTGAGAACGACGTGGAAAGTTTGGTGTTGATAAATCCTCTGGCTGAGGAGGGATTGTTTGGTGAAGAGTGGACACAAATGTGGTATGAGCGATATGCTTCCTCTCAGCAAGTACTGCAATTTTCTGCGGCAGTAGGGATCACTAGAATAGCGCTCATTTTTGGTTTAATGAAACCGCCGATGCAGCACAAACTTCTGTCTTCCAATGTGACTATGCGACAGAAACACCTGCTTTGTAAACCTGGTCATCTTAGTGCGGCGGTTGATGAATTTTTTTTCGCAAACGAAAGCTTAGCGCAGCTGAGAATGTTGCGAAAGCTGAAGCCGTTTCCACAGTCAGCCACTGTCTCAGTCATCAGTAGTGCATTATATGATGAGAGGCTGAGTGGAGAGTTAAATCAGGTAAATTTATAATATATGTACAACATCAAGGAGTGATACTTTTAAGTCTCTAACGACCTGACTACCAAAAAGTCGGGTCGACTTGTTCTTTGTAATGTCGTCCCCACCCGAACGGCCACCCGAACGGATCGTCGCGATCCGTCACCATCTGGAGACCCCCTCTCTCAACATCAGAGAGTAATATTCTTCTAAGTGTCTCACGACCTGACTACCAAAAGGTCGGGTCGACTTGTACATAGATGGGACCATACCGCCCAATCGGATCGTCTCGATCCGTCACCGTCTTGCGATACCCAGATAACAGGAACACTTAGAAGTATTAGTCTTGACTTCCGGTGACCGAATTCACATCCCTTTAACATACCAGGACCTGACTTCCGGTAGACAGAACGAGTTCAACAGTGTTCAATGTTAGATGACCGGACTCAGTATGTGTGTATTGGACAACTCTTGGCGTCTTTGAGCGACGGACGACCACCGGAAGTGAATTTATTGAATTTTTGGGCGGTGGTTTTCACCAGATTTTCGGGCAAATTTTCTCTATGTGGGTAAAGATACTTAGCAATATAATTGTGATAGCGTCAAGGAATGTCAAAAGGGAAAAGGCTTTATTTCTGTTTTACGTCCGTCGCTTTAAAACGCTTGGGCTTAAGCTTCTCAATAGGGAGCTTTAATAAGCAACAGCGTTTTTGAGCGACGGACGTCAACCGGAAGTGGACTTTTTGCATCACTGGACAGTGATTGGTTGAAACTCTCGGGTAAACAAAAGAAACTTAGCAATACAAATTTGTTAGCGTCAAGGCATATAAAAAGGGAAAAGTCCTCACTTCCGGTTGACGTGCGTCGCTCAAAAACATCTTTGCTTAAGCTCTACTCTCTTCCCGGAATAATAGTGCATTTCGCATAATGCTGAGGTATACAGCTACTTCGAGAAAGGTTGTCGGAAAAAAAAGGTGCCTAGAGCGACGCGACAATCCCGAAAGGTAATATGGAATATGATCAATACACTGTTCTTGGCACTGTAGCTGTCGAACCTACTTTTGTTGCTTTCCTTTAGCACTTGCAAACATATATCCATGGACTCTCGTGCCATTCTTTCAAATTTCATGAAGAACAGTGAACTCAAAACTACCCACAGTACCTCTCGGGATTGTCGCGTGCACTTTTTCCGACAACCTTTCTCGAAATAGCTGTATAGATCTAGCACTATGCACTGACCCTGGGACCCTGGAGTATTTTAGATTTACCAAATCAGTTGAATAAACAAAGTTATTTTTTGTAAATAAAAAACCTCAGTCTGTAAAATCTTTGCTTTCATTTTACATGAAAGTGCTCACAAATATTTCGGAGATTTTGTCCAGTGCATTTAAAGGTGCGGTAGAACGGGCAACTGAAAAATGCTTCTGATTGGTTGAAAAAGTTGCGCGAGAATCTTCAGCCTATCACAGAGCGAAGCAATGCAGTATCAAGGGGTTTACGAAATTGGTTTTCTACAATCAATTCATTTTTCACCGTCTTAAACACTTTGGGTCGGTTATTTAAACGAAGTCTAACTTAGACCGCGGTTTAGAAAAAAATCTCTGAACATCCAGATCTCTTCCTTAGTGGATTATTTTAAGAAGGGAAGGCAAATGCTTATCTAGTCTTCTTTATACGCTTTAATGAAACTGTTCACGATAAGTGGTGTTTACATAAAAGCGTTGGCGAAACTGACAATGGCTTAGAACGCGTTTTTGATAAACACTGGCTAAACTCCGTTTAAATGACTGGCCCTTTGTGTCCTTTTTCCATTTTTGATTTCAGGTGTGGTCAAAATCTCAGGATCAGATTTCAAGTGTGTTACATCCAGGAAGTGAAAGAACTAACCTATCTGGGACTGCTCAATCCGCTCTTTTACACCACTATAACACCATCGTGAAAGTGGTTAAAAGACATGTTGAAATATGGAACCAGAAACAACTTAAACTTAAACGCTTTTAAATTCTGAGAGAAAACATTATCAAAAGCGCCTAGAAGACTTGAGGATATTTTGTAGTTAAAAAAAGAGAAAAAGAGAGAAGAAAATTTCACTGTAAAGACGTTTGTGTATTGTGTTTAGAGAGTGCCAAGGGGGCCGAAAAAATCTAAATTTCGCGGCACTTTTGCTCTTATCTACTCCAACAAATAATACTACGTAGGAGAGACCAAAAAACGACTTGACAACCCTTACCCTTTGTTTAGCGTCTAACATCCAGTAGCGCGAACAAAACTCAAAATTTCCGCACGCACAAGAAATGTTGTTGGGACATGTTTTTGTTTGTTTGTTTTGCCAGTTCGTGAACGCAAAGGACACTGTTTTTTCTCTCCACTTTGCTTATGATTCCGAATTTCCTTGCAGGGATAATTTGACAAAAGCATGCTAGGAGGGTTATAGCCCTCTTTCAACACTTTGCCCCTACGACGTTCCCCGTAAAGTTCAACATTTCACCAAGAAAATTCTCCCTAAGAGCTAATGTTTTGTGGGGGGGGGGGGGG